TCAACCACAATTCTATACACTTTGATTTACTCGTATGTCGGAGTGCGTTCCTTTGTGAAGAATAATGCTCATTGACCCTTGTTTGAGTCACGTTATTTTTTTCGTTATAATTCTTCTACTGGTTTTGAACCACACGTTTTTAAGAAAATAATATTTTTCATCACATTAATAACTTTTCATTCTTTTTCAACCACATATTCACTGTCACATCAACAAAAAAAAATGCATTATTGACCCCAAAATGTGCATCAAACAGGGGTTGAATAAGGAGAGGGATGGAGGTGACAGAATGGTGCGATAGATAATGATTTGTGTGTTGTGATTTTCTAAAAAAAAACTATTTAATCATGTGTCTACGTGTTTTTCCTTATATTTTAACTTGTTATCGAGCATGTTTATGTAACATGCTTGACCTTCATGAATATCTATTCGGGACACGTGTATATAGATACAAATACCCAGAAATGATCTCCTACTTAGAAATGAACAAGAGTTACAATAACGAAGTGACATTGCCACTAAACTTCATATATATATATGATAGACAAAAGAATTGATAAAGATGTAAAGAAAGACGAATCTATAATTTTTCTGGACGAGAAAAATACACATCAAATTCTATGAAAAGATTGATTATTCTTTTTTTTTTTTTTCTCTTGTTCACTTGTGCAAAATCAATCTTTGTGAAAGAAAATGGGAAATTGGCACATGTAGTGTTTAATTTATGGAGTTGATGTGCACAGATGATCTTTTAACCAACAAGTTTGATGTAATTATCTCTAACTTTTTACTTAATGGACTTAAGTGGTTATTTTAAATGATTTAAATCCAATTAATCATTAAAAGTGTCGAAATTTTGATATAAGGACTGAAATATCATTAATTAATTAAATAAATAAAATAAGTAAAAAAATGAAAAATATAAGACAAATCCTACCATCTAATTTCACATAAGATTTCCAATGCAATCGTGATTTGTTTGATAAATGGTGTCATACCAGGAAAATAGAATGCGTTCTAATTTTTATTCATTTCATTTGTACACCACAAAACACATATAACTCATATTTAAATATATAAATGCAATGATTTATACAGCAAAAGGTCAGATTATTCGTACAATTTTGATAGTTATATTACCACCACAATAAATGTTTTACTCTGATTATTATATGAATAAATTCTCGCTTTAATATATTTCAAGAAATGCCTATGGTAGGGATTTTTTAGGGAAGAGGGTGGTCGCGGAAGGAGTGGGAGATAGGGGAGGTTCCGATGAGGAAATTGGAGAGATAGAAAGTGTTTGGTTAAGGCTGAAGCAAATATGTGATACCCAAATCTGAAAATAGAGGATATTAGTCATATTTATGAAAGGTAAAGGGGTATTTCTGATATTGTTAAAAAGGTAGGGGATGTGTCTGATATTTCCTCTAAATTACATTGGCTTTTGGGTCCCACTTTCTCAGCAAGGCATGATATCAATGGTAGCCCCACTTTTGTCGAGACCATAAGGCGTGCCCTAATCGTAAATTGATTTGACATTTAGAAAACAACTTATCTGGGCCGAGCCATGGCCCACTTGTACTTTTAGGCCCACTTGTATTTGTGTCTCTTGGTGATTTTCTCATAGCCTTTTAGTGGAACTACTATTCCTAATCCTTTTTCTCGAGGTTGTCCCCTCGCACGAGAAAATTATAGTTTGACCCTCCCAAATACTCATTAATTTGAACCCAATATATCTCGTGAAAATCCAAATCGGTCAATCGATTTATAAGACCACCTTCACAAACTTCTTCTACATATCTCGTGAAAATCCAAATCGATCTGTCGAGTTATAAGACGACCTTAACAAACTTCTTCTACTCATCCCTCAACAAAGTTAGAGATAGACGTTTTGCCTGAGTTGCTTAATCGCTCATTAGNTCTGTCGAGTTATAAGACGACCTTCGCAAACTTCTTCTACTCGTCCCTCAACAAGGTTAGAGTTAGACGTTTTGCCTGAGTTGCTTAATCGCTCATTAGCCCAATGCTCAAATGCGATGACGTGCTACAAAACTATCATTCTTCCGAATTTAAATGTGAAATTAGATGCTACTCCAAAAATAAAGTATATATTCAAATTTCTAGACAATTTATCAATAACACACTTGGAAAATATCAAATGCATAAGTAATTGAAACGTGAACAGGGACAAAAATATTAAAGAAAGCGAAAGAACAATAAAACATGAACTATTTTATTGTAAACATTATTTTCATTAAGGCCATATTTGATTCAACATATTTTCCATCAAATGTGGTGTTTGATAGCAAACTTTTTCTTGGAAATCATTTTCCCACCCAACCCCCTCACGCGCCTGTTTTCTTGCCTTTTTTGTGGTAAAAGTTTTTAAAACTTTTTTTTGAAATTGGAAAAAATTATAGACA